ATGCCACCTGAAAATATGCCACTTTGGCATATTGAGTATTTTCAGCCAAGGGCACTTGAGAACCAGTAGATGCAGGAAGGGCTCTCTGACCTCCTGTTTCTACCTAAAAGCAGGTCAGTATTTCCCATGAGGAAGGTGCTCTCTCTGTACCAGGAAGAGAAGAACACTGTCATCATTGAAGACTGGGAGTTGATGCCAAAATGGATCTGTACAAACAAACCTAAAATAACCCTTATCTTTCATTCCCCCATATATTTCCTAGTCACTTTCCCACTATTAAATCCCTTTTCCTTTGTCTTGTCATCTCTCCATAAATTCTTTGTTAAAAAGGTATATAAGCGCTCAGTCCCAACCACTTCTTTGCATCTTCTTTTTTCTGTGAAGGCTCCTATGTATACATAAAAGTATTAAATAAAATTCATGTTCTTTTCTCCTGTTAATCTGTCTTATGTTAGTTTAATTCTCAGGCCCAGCCACAGAAACTAAAAAGGTTCCCTTTAGGATCCTAAAGTTTTTTCCTCCCCTCCAACTGGAAGGAATTCTTGGTAAAAAGTGTGTTTCTGGATTGTTCTTATCTTTGATGGTTACTTACATAGTGAGAAATAAATAATGGGCTTAATTAAGTAATATGAAATTTAACCAGCTTTAGTAGCTGAGATAATTTCACACAATTTAAATATAAAAAGTTCTTCAGGGTAGAAGGTGCTTCCAGGAATGTATGACAGTAAAATCATCATAATGGAATAAATAAGAAAATTGCCTTCCATTTAACGTTTCATGTAGTACATAGGAGGATACTAATATTTACTATACGTGCCTACCTTGAAGCATTTATCCATGCATTAATGATGTGTTTGTATGCTTCATGTGCTCTCTCTGTGTATATGTGTGTGATGTGTGTGTATGTATGTATGAGTGTGTGTGTTTATTGGAGGAATTGTTATGAGGGTTCTATAGCATAATCTTTTGATTTATGGGGGAGAAATGTTTATTACAATGAGATTATTCTGATTGGTTTTTTGAGGAAGATGGATTAAAGAGAATGTCAAAAGAGTGACTGAATAGGATCTTCCCATTATGTTGTTAAGCTCTGGGCTTGCATATATTAATCCTGTGCCTATTCTTGTGCTCTGTAATTACAGAAGGATAAATAATGCTGAACTTATTTTATTTCTGGATTCAAAAGAAATGCTGGAGAAATTCGAAGAATTTTATATACTCTTGGATCCATTAGAAATTTGAGACTGTCTAACTGTAACCTCATTTATGTTTGTCAGCTTTTAAACATTTATCTCTTGTTGATTTTCTCTTTTCCTACAGCAGTTATTTCCAACTTTCTCACTGTATTTAAATACACAAATCCACCTCCATTTTTATCCTTCCTCAGCAGAGAGCCTTTACTGCTATTTTAAAAAGACTATTTTTTTGTCAGGAGTTGGGCATCCAATAAATTCACTTTTTTGACATGCTGAAATTAAGATGCCCGTGGGATTACCAAGTGTAGAAAGTCATTATGTAATTAGATATTTAAAGGTTTGGAGTTGAGAAGATCAGTCTGGCTCTGAATTAGGAATCACTTATATCTCTGTTTATCTATATACTTACCACCAAAGGCATTGTCTAGATGGAATGATGATTAATACTAGAACCCTATACAGTTATCTCTATTTAAAAGCCAAATATTTGAAGAGACCCAGGGAAGGAGACTATGAAAAAACAGGAAGAAAAAGGAGAACTAGTGAAGAGTATATTATGAAAGTCAGGGAAGAAGAGAGATTAGGAATGAGCAGAAGTAATTGGCAGTGCCACATTCAACGAGGATATTAGGAAAGATTTGTAGAGTCCATTGTATTTGGCTGTAGGTTATCTTTGGGGATCTTGATGAGAGTTATTTTAATTGTGTATCGGGACCAGTACCAGTGAATCGAGAGGTGAATTGGAAATAAGATTGTGGGGCATCAAGTGTGGATTGCTCTTTGCAGGAGTTTAACAGGAAGGGAAGAGTACAGGGTACTGGTTAGAAGATCATGTCAGATTGATAAAGGTTTTTTTTGTTTGTTTAGTTTTAAAAAAATTACTGTGTTTTTTAAGATGGGAGAAGTAGAGAAGAATGATCTAGTAGGGAAAGAGAGGTTCAGTACATGAAGGAGAGGACTTAACTGGTATAGTGAATCCCTTGATGGTTGTGGAAGGAAATAGCAAAGGTAGGCTAGTTTCTCTAAAAGATCCCTTTTCCTCAGAGCCTAGAGAGGAGGAGAGACTAACCATTGGTAAGATTCAGGAGGGTACATGTAGGAAATTTGGGGGGTGTCCTGCCTAATAGCCTCAATTTTATTTCTCACAGGGGAGCTATGTTATATCCTACAGTGAGTAAAAAGCTGTTAGGTTCAGAGATAGTACAGTGGACTGGGTGGGGGCCTGCAGAAGAATTTCTGGGCACTGAGGATGGCTTTCAGTATCCCATCACATTGCCTGATACTCATGTGTGATTTTCCTTGGAGGACTGAGTAACCTGATATAGGAAATAGGAGATTTTTGTAGTTCCTCCAGAGTTGGTGGTTTTGCTGTTCAAGTTCAGTAGATGAGCAGTTTTTAAAGGGAGTTTGAGATGTGAGCAAGGGAGTGGCTAAAGTGAAATTAAGAAAATTAGGTTAAAGAGCCTGGAGTTTAAAATCAGCAAAAGGAATATCAAGGGAATGGTCGTCCTCTTGACAATGAGGAACAGATGTATCAGAAGAAAAGGAGAAGAAAAGGGAACTGGGAAGATTGGTATATAAAGCCAGAGGCCTGAGGGGGAGATAAGGGGGAGGGGTGGGGTTGGACATACCTTTTGCTTCAAAGGTGACAGTTCTGAAAAAAACCCTAGGATAAGACTATGGGAGTGGGTGACCTAAGAGGCATGGAGTTAGGGTCCTTTGGGAATCTGAAAGCTTAGTAAAGAGTTGAAAACATGGGCTCTGGAGTCAGAGTATCTGGGTCTGAATCCTGTGCTCTCACTTGTTAGGTATGTGAACTTGGGCAAGTTCCAAGTGTTCGTTACCTTTCAGTAAAACCAAGATAGTAAGACTGCCTTACTTTAGTTTTATGGTGGCATTGAATGAGGTAATTCATATAAAGCATTTGCACTATCCCTTGCACAACTGCTTAATAAACTTTAGTAGTAGTAGTAGTTGTTGTTGTTGTTGTTATTACTGCCAGCTCCTTCTCATTTAGATCTCAGCTCATATGTCACCTCCTAAGAGAGACCCTCCCCAGCCACGCTGTAGATATAGACCCGTTCAAGTAGCTGTCCGTCATCACCTTGTACTATCCACTCTTGTAATTTAGCTGATAGTCTGAATATCTCCACAGTTAGATTATTATCTTCTTTGGTGTTGTAGCCAGATCTTATTAACCTTTCTGTAAATTATCTGCCTAACACATAGCAAGTGAAACCAGTCTCCCAAGTCTTTGTTGTGGGGAAAAAAATGGTGTCTCTCTGTTGATCTGGAAACCACTTGACTACTGCTTGTTAATAAAGCTGATTTCTGGCATGTGGTAAAACTTTTAGATAAGGGCAAAGGGGTAAACCACCATCACTAGGGTTTTCTGATCTCATTTTAGAATTTTCCACACAAACAAGTGCACAGTTCTCAATTTACTATTTTGTTTGGGTGGATAAAGGAGTGACTCATCTCTTCCAGGCTGCACTGAATTTAGCAAACTGAGCAAATGCAAACCTCTTGTTTTCGAGGCATTATTTTTATGTTATTGCCATAATGTCACACCATGACTTTAATCATGAGAGAAATTTAACTTTATTTGAGCCACAGTTCAGGGATGATGAATCTGGAACTGAACATTCTGCTGTTAGAATCATAGGAGGTTTTTAAATGTTTCCAGTCTCTGTAGATGCTTCAGGACAGTGTAGATGATATTTATTGTTTGTCCAGCTTGCAGCGTCATCTTAGCCTTCTGAACCTAGTCTTAATTGGACACATGACATTTTCATGTCACCGTTGTAACCACAGGTATTTGGAAACTAAGGCTCAGGAGGGACAGCTTATGGGATACATTGGAAGCACTTGTATTTGAATTTGTCACTCCCTTCCAGAGTTTTACAAGAGTGGCTTAATGTTAATGATTATGTTCATTCTTTTATTTGTATAGAATGTTATATAATGTCCTCTCACTTTTGAAGTTAACAATCCATCTTTGCCCATTCTTCTCAGATTAAAAATATGTATGAATCATGATGATTAAGTGTAAGTTCCAAATGTATTATTGACCGCTTTTGGTTTGAGGAAGCTAGCTTTTAAGAGTTTAGGTTCTTAAAAAAAAAAAAAAAGAAAAAAAATGTTAGGTTCTTTTCTTGATTAGGTATGTATTCCACATAAATTTAAGTTTATTTAAAAATCTATCCTGCAGTGATTTATATAAGCTCGAGGTAAGTTCATCAACTTACAACATTATGTTGATTTAGCTGGAAATAACCTATCTATAAATACTTTATTGAGAGTCTTTTAAATGGACTTTCACATACAGTGTTATCTATTACTGATGTTTCTATCATCAATGCTCATTTTTTGTTACAGAGTTTTATTTTATTATAACAAAATTTTAGGTGCTGCCAAAAAGTGAAGCATTACGTATGATTGCATATAATTGCTCTGATATCTGACAAATTTTAAAACATTGACATTTCTTCAGTTGTACAAAACACTAGGTTCTTACTAAAGTAATGCACATTGTTTTTCTCATCAGCAAGACCTTCTATTTTAGTGACAGTCAATTGGAAAAAAAAATATTTTTCCTTTTTGGATAATGAAGTAGTCTAAAAAAGAAAATATTTTTATAAAAAATTATTCTCAACTAATGTGATCATAAAATACATGGAAAAAGATCATATTTTCTAGATAGATTGCTAATTTAGTGATGTTAGTGATTCTTGTTTGATGATATGTTATGCATCTAATTTTGACAAGAACGTGTTCCTGATATCTCACATGCTTTCTTCCTAGAATTTGACATGTGAATTGGAGAACAGGGAGAAACAGCAACTAGAGATGTTGGATGAACTGAAGGAGATCCAGAATCACTTTGAGACATGTGATGCCAGACATAAGTGCGCTGACCTCCAGATCTCAAAGCTGACTCAGCATGCTGAGGATGCAACCAAGCAGGCCGAGCAGTACCTCCTTGAGTTCCAGCAGTCGGAGGCCCTGAGACAGGTGGCAGAGGAGAAGAGAGAAGAGCTGAAGCTGAAAGCTCAGGAGTCCATTAAGCAGTGGAAGCTTAAGCATAAGAAGTTAGAGCGAGCGCTGGAGAAACAATCTGAAACTCTTGATCAACTGACAGACAAGAATAATCAGGTATAAAAGCCAAATTCCTGAGGACTGGTTTTTGCTGTGACCAACCATTCATTCATATGTCCTTTGAACAAACACTTGAATGCTATGCTGTGCATACAACCTATCAAGATGTTCTTGATAGAAGAGTCTTTATGTCTAGACTATTTCAAGGTAAAAGGTAACTTAGTTTTTAAAACCTTTTTAAAGCCTTTGTAATCTTTTAACATTCTGTGGCTTTCCAGAGTTTACGCTTAAAATAGATCCACTCTCCTCCTCTAGTATAGCTTTTAGTTCCCTAATTTGAAATTATTCTCTAATATCCAAATGGAAGAGAATCACAAAATCTTCCTTAATATCACATGCCTTTTCCCCCAATGCATTTATTTTAAAATCTCATTTATTTGTATATTTCAACTTAAGTATTGGTTAGAAAGAAGCGTTTAAAATGCAGCCGTTACTACTGGAGCATTTTCTGGCAGCTTCTATAAGTTAAGTGAGTGACATTGATAATCTCGCTGACGGTATTATCAGATCTCAAACCTCTTTAAGACTTCTGTGCCTCTTTGATAGCAACAAAAAGCATTTCATTGATCTGTGTATGCATTTCACATCATCTTTTCTCTTGTATAATCAGTTACTTTAAATGGATTTTATGCTCCTATGTTGATTCTCAACTGTATCTTTGCATTGAATTAAACCCAGATGTTTCTAAGGTAATAAGCAGGAAAGTCATGATTGATTTTTATCCATGTTTAGTCTTGGTTTATCACTTCTGCTTTGTCATTTGTCACTTGTCAAGAAATCTGAATGTTCCAGAAGAATAGTCATTTGGATAAGTCGACTTTCTTTCAAAAGAAAGCAAAATGTAGGGCAATTATATTTATAAAATCAATTGTCAGCACTTAAGAGTGACAAATGCTTATTTCATGACAGATGAGCTGTCATGGAAAAGATGCTTTCGTTTTTATGTATGAATTTCTTGGACATATAAAAGATGGAGGAAGTGATCCCTTTGCACTCATTGTGGAGTGCTTTTCACTTTAACCCATCTGACACTTACTGGATGACTAGTTGCCCCAAGGTAAAGCAGCTCTAAGCATTTCAGGCTTGAATCTGAATTGATTTGATCCCAGGAAATTGCTCTACCTTGATTATTCTGTTGTCAGCCTGGTTTGGCAGCTGGTTCAATGAGCCTGGGTATAAGGGAGGTAGCTAGAGAGAAGAGTGGTTGGGGGGATTGATTGATTGAGAACCATCTGGGGATTTTACTTAATTAGAGGAAATTTAGAAGGGTCCATGCCATCAGACAGTATCCTAATCCATGGTACTGAGAGTTATCTAGATTGAGCTTTTCAGAATATTAAAATCTGTTAAACAGTCATTTCCCAGAATACTCTTGATATAATTATTTTTATCACTTAGCATTGCTAATGATAAGCAAAGAAGTAGCATTAAAGTGATTGCCACAGTTAGGGTAGTATTACAATTATCACAGCAGGCATTGTAATTTCCACTTTAAAAGCCTTAAAAATTAATGCAGCATGTCGCAGTTAGAGCAACGGTTAATCAAGGAAGAAAGGGTAACAGATATTTCACTGCAAATTCAAGTGTCCAGTAAGTCTGTGATGTGGAAATACATTGTAAATAATTTTGGAAAAAGTATATTTTTAATATCTTACTGAATAATGCCTCTAAAGAGTATTTAATTTTTAATAAAATCACAGAGCCACCTTAGGGCAGTAGTAATACAGCCTACTCCTTTTTTGTTTTTTAGGACTAATTATTTTCCAAAAATGACTCCAGGGTATATTTGGAAGTGTATGTTAAAATAAAAATGATACTGGTTTACAAATAAAACACATTATAGTTTAAAGAATGAGTTAATTGTTTAATAAGTAGCCTTGTTGAGCCATTTTATATGCTCAGATAATACAATTTTTGGATTTTCAAAATAGTTCTGTGCCTACTTCTGTTTTTCTTTTCCAGCTTAATTTATTTTCTGCTTTAAAATGTGCCACTTAAAAATTCATTAGAAGGCCAAAGGCTTTTATTCTCTTAAAAATTGCTCTTATTTATTTTTTTCTGCTCTTTACATTTTGGAATATTGGTAAGATTATAAGATATATATCATATCACAAAACTACGTCATTACTGAAGACTATGTAATATCAAACAAATAGCATAGCATTGCAGAAAAAACCCAGAAAGGTAAGGTTGTATACTTTCCTTAAGAGAAAACCAAATACCATATTCTAACCCATATATATGGAATCTAAAAAAAAAAAAAAAAAGGGTTCTGAAGAACCTAGGGGCAGAACAGGAATAAAGACACAGATGTGGAGAGTGGACTTGAGGACACGGAGAGGGGGAGGGGTGGGCTGGGACGAGGTGAGAGAGTGGCATGGACATATATACACTACCAAATGTAGAATGAATGACTGGTGGGAAGCAGCTGCATAGCACAGGGGGATCAGCTCAGTGCTTTGTGACCACCTAGAGGAGTGGGATAGGGAGGGTGGGAGGGAGACGCAAGAGGGAGGAGATATGGGGATACGTGTATATGTATGGCTGATTCACTATGTTACACAGCAGAAGCTAACACACTGTTGTAGAGCAATTATACTCCAATAAAGATGTTGGGGGAAAAAAAAAGACAATGACATGGATGTTTATATCAGGGAATCATGATATTCTTTAGAGATATGTAGATGAACGTATATTGGGAGGTCTAAAATTCTATTGATATAAATAATCTAATCATAAATTGTGATACTTTTGCCTTTCTCTTTTACATCTTTATTAGAGTATAATTGCTTTACAATGGTGTGTTAGTTTCTGTTTTATAACAAAGTGAATCAGTTATACATATACATATGTTCCCATATCTCTTCCCTCTTGCGTCTCCCTCCCTCCCACCCTCCCTATCCCAACCTTCCAGGCGGTCACAGAGCAGCGAGCTGATCTCCCTGTGCTATGCGGCTGCTTCCCACTAGCTATCTACCTTAAGTTTGGTAGTGTATATATGTCCATGCCTCTCTCTCGCTTGGTCACAGCTCACCCTTCCCCCTCCCAATATCCTCAAGTCCATTCTCTAGTAGGTCTGTGTCTTTATTCCTGTCTTACCCTTAGGTTCTTCATGACACTTTTCTTTTTCTTAAATTCCATATATATGTGTTAGCATATGGTATTTGTCTTTCTGTTTCTGACTTACTTCACTTGTATGACAGACTCTAGGTCTATCACCTCATTACAAATAGCTCAATTTCGTTTCTTTTTATGACTGAGTAATACTCCATTGTATATATGTGCCACATCTTCTTTATCCATTCATCCGATGGTGGGCAGTTAGGTTGTTTCCATCTCTGGGCTATTGTAAATAGAGCTGCAGTGAACATTTTGGTACATGACTCTTTTTGAATTTTGGTTTTCTCAGGGTATATGCCCAGTAGTGGGATTGCTGGGTCATATGGTAGTTCTATTTGTAGTTTTTTAAGGAACCTCCGTACTGTTCTCCATAGTGGCTGAACCAATTCACATTCCCACCAGCAGTGCAAGAGTGTTCCCATTTCTCCACACCCTCTCCAGCATTTATTTTTTCTAGATTTTTTGATGATGGCCATTCTGACTGGTGTGAGATGATATCTCATTGTAGTTTTGATTTGCATTTCTCTAATGATTAATGATGTTGAGCATTCTTTCATGTGTTTGTTGGCAGTCTGTATATCTTCTTTGGAGAAATGTCTGTTTAGGTCTTCTGCCCATTTTTGGATTGGGTTGTTTGTTTTTTTTGTTATTGAGCTGCATGAGCTGCTTTTAAATTCTGGAGATTAATCCTTTGTCAGTTGCTTCATTTGCAAATATTTTCTCCCATTCTGAGGGTTGTCTTTTGGTCTTGTTTACGGTTTCCTTTGCTGTGCAAAAGCTTTGAAGTTTCATTAGGTCCCATTTGTTTATTTTTGTTTTTATTTCCATTTCTCTAGGAGGTGGGTCAAAAACGATCTAGCTGTGATTTATGTCATAGAGTGTCCTGCCTATGTTTTCCTCTAAGAGTTTGATAGTTTCTGGCCTTACATTTAGGACTTTAATCCATTTTGAGCTTATTTTTGTGTATGGTGTTAGGGAGTGATCTAATCTCATACTTTTACATGTACCTGTCCAGTTTTCCCAGCACCACTTATTGAGGAGGCTGTCCTTTCTCCACTGTACATTCCTGCCTCCTTTATCAAAGACAAGGTGACCATATGTGCATGGGATTATCTCTGGGCTTTCTATCCTGTTCCATTGATCTACCTTTCTGTTTTTCTGCCAGTACCACACTGACTTGATTACTGTAGCTTTGTAGTATAGTCTGAAGTTAGGGAGCCTGATTCTTCCAGCTCCGTTATTCTTTCTCAAGATTGCTTTGGCTATTCGGGGTCTTTTGTGTTTGCATACAAATTGTGAAATTTTTTGTTCTAGTTCTGTGAAAAATGCCAGTGGTAGTTTGATAGGGATTGCATTGAATGTGTAGATTGCTTTGGGTAGTAGAGTCATTTTCACAATGTTGATTCTTCCAATGCAAGAACATGGTATATCACTCCATCTATTTGTATCATCTTTAATTTCTTTCATCAGTGTCTTATAATTTTCTGCATACAGGTCTTTTGTCTCCCTAGGTAGGTTTATTCCTAGATATTTTATTCTCTTTGTTGCAGTGGTAAATGGGAGTTTTTCTTTATTTCACTTTCAGATTTTTCATCCTTAGTGTATAGGAATGCCAGAGATTTCTGTGTGTTAATTTTGTATCCTGCTACCTTACCAAATTCATTGATTAGCTCTAGTAGTTTTCTGGTAGCATCTTTAGGATTCTCTAGGTATAGTACCATGTCATCTGTAAACAGTGACAGCTTTACTTCTTCTCCGATTTGGATTCCTTTTATTTCCATTTCTTCTCTGAGTGCTGTGGCTAACACTTCCAAAAGTGTGTTGAATAAGAGTGGTGAGAGTGGGCAACCTTGTCTTGTTCCTGATCTTAGTGGAAA